CCATGATGGCTGATCGTGTAAAATCCATGTGAGCATGAGTTCCGGCATGATTGGAGCACCGAAATGGTTGTGGCGGTCCTTGCTTCCACGGCATCCAGTAGCCTCGTTCGATTATTGATAAGATAAGACTGCTCGTACACCATGTACGCCACCAAGCCAACGCGGATCGCAACCGCCCTCGCATGACGGAAATTGTCAAATCCGTCACTGCGTATTCAAAGGGGTCGTCTTGCTGTCCCATGGCATGCATCAGAATGCCTGCACATGGTAGTAGACAAAGATCCAACACATGACAATTAGCATTTTTTTTTTTTTTTTTTTTGTTTATCGAGGAAGCATTGACGCTCGAGTGGGATAACCCTTCTTGCCGGCACGAGAACCGATTAGTTTTTTTTTTTTTTTTTTTTAAGAGTCAGTTCATGGCAAGGTTGTTTGCCCTTCAGTTTCTCCTATGATTGTTGAGGTATTAAGCTTCTCGAGACTTCGTTGCCTCTCTCCAAGAACCTTCTTGAGGCATGGGGCAGAAACTCAAGAGCAAACAAGAGACACATGGTGAATGCTTCTCCTCGTCATCTCAACAAAATGCACATCAAAAAATTATATTCAATGAGAACAACTTCATAGGGTTTATAGCAATCTTCTAGGCAAACGCCCTAAGATCATCTATGGTCTCTTCCCCTTAGGGAAAACATTCACAACAAAATTTCACGAGAAGATCGACTTCATGATGCTCTAAAGAGCTTATAGGCAAACGCCATAGACCAAAAAATGGTAATTAAGGCCAGCCAAACGGCGACTAGAAAATAAAAACAGCCCAACGGGCACGACCAACGGCCTTTGTGCGGTTATGCTCCTCGTCGAGCTTAAACCACCGGCGCGGGTCCGTGAGGGCCGTGCCCACCAGCAGGGCATGCGCTGGCGGTGTGACCCGGCTGGCCACAGCGGAAGCAGGTGCCGCGGAAGCTCCTAGCATCGCAGCCGGGGGCCGTGCCAATTTTGCCGCCAAACCCCGAGCCTCGGCCTCCAAGGGAAGAACCGCGACCGTAGGAACCTTGGGCACGCTTCATCGCTGCCACGTCCGCTACCGCCTGCTTGAAGGGGCGCGACGGCAGCACGCTTTTCTGCTGGTAGAGCTTGAAGCGGTGCGCCGTCTTGAAGTCGGATGCGTCGGCAACTTGGAGGAGTTGGAAGCGATCGGCGATGAGCGCGTACGCCTCGTCGAAGTGCTCGAGGGCGCCAGCCGTGTCGCCGTGACGTATCTTGTGCTCCGAGTGCTTCAGGTACGCGCGCAGGTCCTCCAGAAATTCGGCTTGCTCGCGTACGCCGGCGTGGTGAAATGAGGATGCCGGAATGGTGGGGTTGGTGGAGGGGAGTGGAGGAAGATGCTCGGTAGGTGCAATAAAATTAGTGTGTGCGTTGGCCTCACCCGCTTCATCTTCAGAGTCGCTGCCGTCGTTGAAATTGTTGGGCGCCGCAGCAGCAGCGTGTTCCCTTTCGGCACGAGGGACTTCGGTTGCGCGAGGGTGACGCGCCAAATCGTTTCTTGCGTTTGCGTTTTTAGCAGATGCAGAAATTGTTGTCGCTGTAGCCGTAACCGCCGGCGGCTGCTGCTGTAACAGCGCCAAAAGCGCTTGGACTTGGTCAGCAGTCAGCGCCGGAGTCAAAACAGGGTCAGCCGTCGCGTCAGACGAAGACCCAGTTCGGCGCCTCTGGCGCTGACGCGACGGTCCAACCACAGGTGCTGGCGCGTGCTCGGCGTCAGGCGCGTGTGGCGCCACAGGTGTTGCAGGTGCCATCGTCGCCACTTGCGCCACAGGCGCCAGTGGCGCCACAGGTGCCGAGGGGTGCTGCTGGTTGGCGGTTTTGTTGACTTCGCCACTGCGCGTCAAAAGGTCGACACCAGTGGGCGCGTTGCCTTCGTCGTCCGCCCGCCGCTTGTTGCGGCGATCTCCCGTAATTTCACGGGTATTCTTCTCGTTGTCCGAACGATTCGGGGCGTTGTCGCTCGGCGCCATCGAAGCTTGATTGTAGTTAAGAATATCCGACAGCAGGGTAGAGGGTGCTTGAAAGCGTGGAAGGGTTTTCACCCTCGCCAGGTTGAGGTCCGAAAAAATCGGGAGGGAGTCGGAGCCTCCGAAAAAAACGGGATGGGTCTCGGAACTGGGAATTGAACTTGAGCGATTGTAAAAGTGAGAGACGTGGGTGGGGGAAGAATGACCCCAACCCACATTATATATTCGGAGAAGGCGAATAGCGTGCTTCGACGATGCTCAAAATTGCGCAGTCAGCTTCGCTTTCACAATACACAAATTTGAAAGCGATGAACGCTTACAAATTTTTCATATCTCGATTTATGTGTCATCTGTGCTGGTTCCAGCTGCTGTCCATTGAGATGCCACATCAGCATCAGCTGCTGTCTTACATTTGCCTCCAAGCCCTACACTGGCAGCTTCACTTGCGCTTGACTTGGGGAAGTCGCAACAAGAAAGTCGCACAGATGTGCAGCGTCCGTTGGCTGTGGTGGTTGCCTGCATCCTCATCCTCCTCCCCCTCACCCTCGCCCTCACCGTATATGTCTACAATTTCCTTCTTTGCAGATTTCAGGTTAAATGATTATCTGAGAATGCGTTAGCATAGTTTTGTGGCGTCAAAGCCCCTTCAAATATCATGCTGCCGCGTCTGCTTGCATCCTCCGCCTCTCCCTTGACGAGCTGCTGTGGCTTCTGAGGTGGTCTCAAAACTCATCTTTTTGAAACCTCGGTCTCTCCTTCATCTGCTCGTGTTCTCCACCTTCCCTTCTTCCAGCTGCTTCACCCTCTGCCTCAGCTCAGTAATCTTCCCGTCCAGCTTTTGATGCGCCTCAAAAGCCATGTCATCTGCTTGTGCTCTCCACCTTCCCTTCTTCCAGCTGCTTCACCCTCTGCCGCAGCTCAGTAATCTTCCCGTCCAGTTTCTTCCTGGCAGATTCCTTTCCAAACATGTAGCCGTACCTGAGAGGGGTATTAGGGCACTCAAAGAGGTGGTTTAATGGGAGAATCTGGAGATGGAGGACACGCAATGAGAAGAACACGAGAGTCAGGAACTAGTTAGCCACAATGAAGGATTCCGTACTCGCTTGTGGTACCTCAGTTCGGATTCCACGTACCACTGACGCTTTTTGAGACACCCAAGAACGGGTTCTGCTTACTGAGGGACCTAGATGACAGCGGTGACGAATCGAGGAGTGACTGGTTACAGAAACCTCACCAGGCGGACAATGCAGAGAATCCGGACAGAATCGACGCGAACTGCACAGGAGAGACCTGCATGATCGGGTCCCAGACCAATGCACCAGCGCGAAACGAGCCACCTGGATCCGACTGAATAACTGATTGTTGTGGCTACCGCGGTACGGATATTGGACCCTAGGAGGTGGGTCGCAGGAACGGAAAGCTTCTACATTAGGCTCAGAAATCTCTACCAAGTGGAATAGTATGTGATTTAGGTGTGGACCATAAGTATTGTTTGAAGATAGTGTGTTTCAACACTCGAGAGAGTTCGTACATGTGTAACCACTCGGACTAGCGCGAAGAGTAATGGCGAATGGTAACTTTCTAATTGACGACAATAACGGAGTCGTTGCTGGTTTGTCGCGAGCGCGGATATCGGCCACATGCTGACGACACTAGAATTACCAGCCAACAGCATCATCCAGTCTAGAATTGACGCGTGTGAGTCACCTGACAGGAGGATGAGATTCTAAACCTTCACTCATTGGTTACCCGCTCGGAGCTTCCGTTACTCTCCCACTTTTCAACCAATGAAGGGAAAGCATTCTCGCTTCAATCACCACAGTACGCTGTAGTCTTCAGGGGCCAGCTCACTCAACTCATTCCCTCGCATCATTTCCGTGTGGAGCCTCTACGACATTCCCAAGGCCCTCTAAAAGTAAGGGCCTTATTCCATTCTGACACAAGTGGGAAGAATTTCATCTTTCATCAGTTTCTTCGCATCCCAGGCATCTTACATGTAGCTTATGGCCCATGTAAGCTGCAACCAGGTTCCGCCATTTCAAGATTCAGCATTGTTCTGACGAAATTCTGGTTCACAACATTCCACTTTACCGACGGCTAACTCATTATTCCGTATATAGTGAAGTTATTGCTAGAGCCCTGTATTACAAGCTGATTGCGTCAAGTTCGCGTCCATGGCTAGCGACGGTGCAACAGATGCAGCGTCGTCGCCTCTTGATGGGTCCTTGTGTGGTCACGAGACTCTCGAAGCCATGCTGAAGGCCCACCTTCCCAAGGATAAACTCGAGGTATCTTAGCCTGGGATTCAAAATTCCATTGCAACTTTAAGCAATTTTATTATACTTTAGTTCTCCCGATATTTTACGATGTAAGCTTGAGCTATCCGACAAATTCTCAATGCGAACAGGAAGCTCTTCGCGTCCTGCACGGTCATTCCAATGGTGAAGGGTTGGTATCCTCAGTCACCCTTCCAGAAGCAGCAACGGAGGCAGCACAACGGCTTGACTTCGACCTACAGGTATTTTTGCCTGATGATTGAATATTATTATGCCTTTGGACTACTTTCTGTCTGTTGGTAATGCTGGCTAGTTCAAGCTTTTCTCCCCTTTCACGACTCTTGCACTTTCAGTCTGTCAATTTTGAAATAAACTATTATTGTTTTGCCCGGATCATTAATGTTTCCCAAACCAGGCCTACAATTTCGGCGCTTCTCGCGAGCAGCTTCGGGAGCCACGTGTCGTTCGAGCAGCCCTGATCCAGAACCGAATCGTGCTTCCCACCACAGCGCCTTTCGCGGAGCAACGCAGCGCGATCATGAGCCGCGTGACAGAGATAATCGAAGTAGCAGCGTCGTGCGGAGTTAATATCCTTTGTCTACAGGAGGCATGGCCTATGCCCTTCGCGTTCTGTACCCGGGAGAAGCACTGGTGCGAATTTGCAGAGGTCGTTCCGGAGGCTAGTAGCAGTAACGGGGGTGGTAATAACGGGATGGGCTGTAACGGTACTGGCAACAGCAGCAGCGGGAGCAGTGGCGGGAGTGGTGGTGCTGGTGCTGGTGCTGGTTTGAGGGGGAGAGAGGTGGGGCCGACAGTGGCTTTGGTGTGTGAGCTGGCGAGACGGCACAACATGGTGATTATAAGCCATGTGCTCGAAAGGGATGTGACGCACGGCGACACTGTGTGGAACACTGCCGTTATCGTGGGCAACAAAGGGAACATCATTGGGAAGCACCGCAAGGTGAGCCAGGAGTCACTGCGGCAAGGAAAAGGGCCTTTGAGTGTGCTACAAAGGGATGTGACTCACGGCGACACTGTGTGGAACACTGCTGTCATCGTGGGCAACAAAGGGAAAATCATTGGGAAGCACCGCAAAGTGAGACTTGGGACTCACTGTGGGGGGGGGAGGGGGTTTTTGAGTGTGCTTGAAAGGGATATGACTCATGGCGACACTGTGCAGAAGCGATAAGGGGAATATGGCTCACGATATTTGGGGAATATGGCTCACTCACGTCCCACAGTGAGAATTCTCAGAAGTGTGCAGAAGTGATAAGGGGAATATGGCTCACTCACGTCCCATCCCTTCCTTTCACGTTTGAGAATTCTCAAAATTCACTGTTCATGCCATCCCCTCCCCCTCCTCTTCTGATATACCCTGCTTTTCCTCCTCGTTAGAATCACATCCCGCGGGTGGGTGACTTTAACGAGAGCACCTACTACATGGAGGGAAACACGGGCCACCCGGTGTTTGAAACGGAGTTTGGGCGAGTGGCAGTCAACATCTGCTACGGCCGCCACCACCCCCTCAACTGGATGGCCTTTGCCCTTTACTCACCCCACCACCTACCCTTCCCTTTCCCGGCTTTCACACCATTTTCATCCTCTCCTCCTCTTCTGTATGCCCACCCTCCCTTGCCTCCCTCGCCAGAATCACATTCCGCGGGTGGGTGACTTTAACGAGAGCACCTACTACATGGAGGGCAACACGGGCCACCCGGTGTTTGAGACGGAGTTTGGGCGAGTGGCAGTCAACATCTGCTACGGCCGCCACCACCCCCTCAACTGGATGGCCTTTGCTCTCAACGGAGCGGAAATCATCTTCAATCCGTCTGCCACTGTGGGAGGGCTCAGTGAACCGCTGTGGCCAATCGAGGTGAGGTGGTGGGTGGAAGAGGGTGGGTAGGAGGGAACTGGGGAGGGAACATCTGCTACGGCCGCCACCACCCCCTCAACTGAATGGCTTTTGCACTGAACGGAGCAGAGATCATTTTAACCCTTCTGCCACTGTGGGAGGGCTCAGTGGACCGTAGCGGCCGCCACAACCCCCTCAACTGAATGGCTTTTGCACTGAACGGAGCAGAGATCATATTTACCCCTTCTGCCACTGTGGGAGGGCTCAGTGAACCGCTGTGGCCGATCGAGGTGAGGTGGTGGGTGGAAGAGGATGGGTAGGTGGGAACTGGGGAGGGAACATCTGCTATGGCCGCCAGCACCCCCTCAACTGAATGGCTTTTGACCTCACCCTTCTGCCACTGTGGGAGGGCTCAGTGAACCGCTGTGGCCAATCGAAGTGAGGTGGTGGGAGAAGGTGTGGGAGGAGGGGTGAGAGCAGGCTGTCAAAATTTGGATGGCCTTTGCACTGAACGGAGAAAATATCATTTGGAGGTGGTGGTGGTGCTGGTGGTGGGGGAGGAAGGAGGAAGGTGGAAGAGAGGGTGGGAAAAGGGAAGATAGGGAACAGGGGAAAAGGATGTTTGGGCATCTGGGGTGGACCAAAACAATTCACCGAGAAGAAATCCGCCTGCTCTCTCCCTTGCTTCTCTTTCCCCTGCTGCTCTGGGCTCCAATGCACCCACCACCCCTCCAGGCGCGGTGAGCAGCCATAGCCAACAGTGTGTTTGTGGGGGCAATCAACCACGTGGGCACAGACCACGTGGGCACAGACCACGTGGGCACAGACCTTCCCCCACGCCCTCACCTCCTGCCTTCCCCACCCACCATTCTCCTTTGATTCTCCGTCCCTTGTTGCTCTCGCTCATATGCTCATCCCCCCACCAGGCGCGGTGTGCAGCCATAGCCAACAGTGTGTTTGTGGGGGCAATCAACCGCGTCGGCACAGAGACCTTCCCCCACGCCTTCACCTCGGGGGACTGCCGGCCTGCCCACAGCGACTTCGGGCATTTCTATGGCTCGTCCTACTTCGCTGCTCCTGATGGCTCGCGCACCCCCGCTGCCTCTAGGTGCCGGGACGGGCTCATGATCGCCGACCTAGATTTGAACCTGTGCCGCCAGGTGGGTGGTTGAGACGTGGGGTGCACTGCAGGGGACGGGACAAGGGGCTATGATATGAATTTGGGGTTCTGAATGTGCCTCGACCTCCCCGCTGCTTCGAGATGCAGGGACGGGCTCATGATAGCCGACCTGGATTTGAACCTGTGCCGCCAGGTGGGTGGACGTGAGTGAAGGAGTGGGAGTGGGTGATGTATGAGAAATTTCAGGTCTCTGAATGTGCCTCGCGCACCCCCGCTGCCTCTGGGTGCCGCGACGGGCTTATGATAGCCGACCTGTTTTGAGATGTCTCAAAACACTTCTGTTTACACGTGGCTTATGATAGCCGACCTGGATTTGAACCTGTGCCGGCAGGTGGGTGGGAAATGGAGGGACGCGGGGAGGAACGCAGGAATGCAAGGAGGTGTGCAGGGGTGTGGGTATGCAGGGATGCAGATGGTAGTTCTCTGGAGCGTTCAGCTCTTCCCCACTGGGGATTGTCGGCCGACCCACAACAAGTTTGTACTTGCAGATCAATGCGTGAGGAATGAGCCTTGCGTCACTTGAAGCCCCACACACCACCCACGCTATTCCACCCATCCCACTCCCTTCCCTCCTCTGTGCATGTCCTGAGTCACAACAAATCCCACACCCATCCCTTCCCACTCCCTTCCCCTTGCACAACCCACCACCATCTCTCCCCAGGTGCGGGACAAGTGGGGCTTCCAGATGACCGCCCGCTACGACATGTACCGGGATCTTTTGGACCGATACTGTCGCCCGGATTTCCAGCCACAGATTGTCAGAGACCCCACTCTCCCACCTGTGTAACCGCGTTTTGAAGTTTGAGTCAACTTCAATGGCAGCTCGTTAGAGTAGAGACCCTCCCATTTCACCTGCATGACTACATGCTTTCTTCATCTCACCCTTGGTAGTAGAGCGGTTCTTTTCTCTCTTCAAAACTCACTGGATGATCTCGCATCAAGAGTTTGTACAGTGGATGCTGTGGTGTGGGGTATGCAAAAGTAGAAGTGTATATATTTTAAAGTCAAGTGTACATTGCAGGATTCTTACACAGGGGGGTACAATGCATCACAGTAGTACCTGCAAGAGTCCCTTTCTATGCAAGTGCCGGCACATAGGGCAGAGAGGATAGTGTAGAGTGAGTTGACCCGCTTGAGAATGCATTGTAATGGATGTAACCATATGCACTTCACTACACTGCAGACAGGGGGTGCCCGTACTACAAGACGAGTAAAGAGGCCAGGGGGACTGTGAATTGACCCACTTGAGAATGCAGTGCAGGTGTGGGATTAAATGAGACCATATGCACTTCACTACACTGCAGACAGGGGGTACTGTACTACAAGAAGAGTTGAAGTTCCATCTTAAGCTCGAAAGCGCCACTCGCGCCGGCACATAGGGCAGAGAGGCCGGGGAGACTGCGAGTTGACCCACTTGAGAATGCAGTGCAGGTGGAAGGCGTGCGAGCACATACCCCATACTGCATGATGCAGTTACATATACAATACCATAGACACAAACACAGGCAAAAAAACGGGCTAGACTTTTGAGGCAACAATTTCCCATTTACTCCGTCCCCACTTGAGAAGGCAATGCAAATAGAAGGCGTGTGAGTCAGCACATACCCCATGCTGAATATTTCCAAGAAATGCTCTACATTGAGGGGGCTGTGAGGTATGTGCTGACTCACACGCCTTCTCACTGAGACAACAACGACTTCGCAAGGACTCGCTGAGGGGGCAGTCGTCACCAGCCAGGCATCTTACAGTCAGGGCAGCAGCCATCAAAGGCCATGCACGTAATCCAAGAGATGCGTTGATAGATACTATCATATTAACGCCTCTGCCAATAAGGAGGACTCACTGAGGGGGCAGTCGTCGCCAGACATCTTGCAGTCGGGGCAGCAGCCATCAAAGGCTTCTGTGTACTTCCAAAAGCTGCTTTGATACTGTACTCTTAACGCCTCAGCCGTAAGAAGGACTCACTGAGGGGACAGTCATCGCCAGGCATCTTGCAGCCTGGGCAGCAACCATCAAAGGCTGGCGTGTATATCCAAGAGATGCGTCGACACTAGAACATTAATGCATCTGCTACTAAAGAGGACTCACTGAGGGGGCAGTCGTCGCCAGGCATCTTGCAGTCGGGGCAGCAGCCATCAAAGGCCATGCGGCAGATACCGCATGAGTCATCCTGAGCACCCCATGTCCACGATGCCACTGCATGCCATCTGGGTAGGGAAGGAAGGAACACAGCAGCATGCATACATGTTGCATTCTATTCAAGAAGTGTCAAGAAGTGTCAAGAAGCGTCATCCTGAGCGCCCCATGCCCAAGATGCCACTGCATGCCATCTGGTTAAGAGGGGAGGAGTGAAGGGTAGCAATGGAATGAGAAGAAAATCGAAGAGGGTGGTTGTTCAGGCCAGGTTCGCCAACGAAACGTCGCATTGTATTCTGTATCTGCAAACCTCTTCTCTAGAATAGTACGAAAGTTACCTAATTATAAGTTCCATGCATCATGGTTTCGTGAACGTACCCTGTGTTGGTGAGTGGAAACATGGCGTGAAGGCGGGTCGAGGACATGAGGGGGAAAAGGGGAAAAGGGGGTTGGTGGGAGGGGAGAGGGGGAGTGTTTAGAAGTGACGTCAGATGCGCGGTTGTCTAGAATCTGGCGACTATGACGGCACAAACTGGCGACTATGACGGCACAAACTGGCGACTATGACGGCACAAACTGGCGACTATGACGGCACAATCTGGCTCCGGCAGCCGCTATTACAAGCCAGTGATTGCAACCGACAAGATTACGGGAACGGGCAAATTATAGCTCACCGAGAATCTTGACCTTCATCCTCGCTGTTGCACGCTGCGATGCCTGAGAAGTATAAAGAGCAGCTCCTCACAACACTCTCAAAACTCTTGTCTTGAGTACAGTATAATTTGAATCGCCTAAAGAGCTGTATTAATAAATCGCAGTACTGATCGCTTCGTCGCGCCGCGCCCTTTCCTGGGTCGTCTAATCCTGCCAAACAACTGCTGATCAATTCCCGAATATCAATAAGATGAGAGCGATACGTAAGCTGGGGCGAAGGTGGAGCGATGCACAAACTCCATAAGTATCAACGGTCCAGCACCCAGATTGAAGAGTTTCAGAATATGGCGGCTCGAAGAATCTGTCATTGCTTCTTTGCAGGTCAAGGCAATATCAAGGTGTCACCCACGAGCTGGAATTAATAAGTGCAGTGTAGTGTAGGTGTAATGTTATCAGTTCCACATGCAATTGATGTAACAGGCCCTCGTCTTAGCGAAAGTCGCGAATGACCTGCTCCACACGTTCACTGCACCCTCCAGCACGCTTTCACGAACCGAGCCACGACGACGGGAATCAGGCATTTTCGTTCGGGTAACATGGGAAAGCCGATATCGCGAACGCGAATCTTTTTCCCCTACAGAGATTTCCTATGGCAGATCTTCCAGTCCTCCACTCAGCATCTCCCAAGCAGCCTTCCAGAAATCTCCACTTATATTCCTAGGTGATTTCTTAGGTCCGGATTTCCTAAACTTCCCTTTTCCTAACGACACGCCGAGGCGTGCTTTGCCTCTAGTTTCTGACGCGGACGAGAAAATCGCCGTGCTCACTGCGGGTGGGCTGGGGATGGTCGTCGTTGGCTGCTGAAGCAGCTCGACCGTTAGAGTCGTGGGTCAGGCGAGGGAAGTGGCTGATACCGCGTCGCGGGTCTTGATCCGTGCGTATTTTTTTCGCAGGGGAGACGTCGGGGAACTAAGAGAGCATGACGGCTCCGGTTCCGCCGTCTGATGTGAGTAATAGCGTCGGCTGGGATAATCGTTGGACATATTATGGTTTCTCAGCAGATTCTTGAGTTTATTGAAACTCTCGGGGGAATAAGGGAGTATGAATGATTAGGTTCTGCCGTCTAAGGTGAGTCGCAGCGTCGGTTGGAGTGCTAGTTGGGCATTTGCTGGTCTTTGCGGGGGAGACATTTTGGGGAAGCAAGAGGATATGCTGTTCTTATTTCAACGTCAGAGGCGGTTACCGGCGTCGGTTTTAGTTTTTTATCGGACATTGACGGCTTTGATGTGTGCACTGCTAGTTAAATGATGCAAGGTACGTTACAGTCAGTCTGGTTATGCCTATGTTCCCTTTTTTAAGGGATTTTTGGCTCGCACGATTTGCGCCTTATGTTGTGACGTATGTCTTGAAGAAAAACAGTTTTGTATAATTTTAGGGTTACGTGGGTGAATGAGAGGCTTCGAGGGAGCCATGCCAGTGAAAGTACTCCGCAAAGGCGGCTCCGCGAAGGATTTGCGGTTTCTGCGGATCTCGCACTATAGACTATCATTCCCTGAAATAGCGTCACAGCTCCCGCCGATATCCGCGGCTCTGGCATCAGCAACCTTTGCTGGAATCCTCATCATGATCAGAGCCGATTGGTACTTAATCTCTTCTTTTAAGTCCCGACTTTAAAGTGTTATGACGCACGAGATATATGCAATTTGACTCTGTCGAATCCGTGTTTGGTACTTAATCGTTTATTGTCTGTCCTGACTTGTATGTTTCACGAACGAGATACGTGCAATTCGAGTGTGTCAAATCTGCGTTTGTGTGTTCACGTGAAATAAAATTTCTCTTTCGCGTGCGCCTGGCAGGAGCAGCAGCGACTCCAGGGCGCGGCAGTGGACGTCCTAATGCAGGACAGCGGGATTCCTTCTATCGGGGACAGCGATCAGGACATGGGAGGACCGGATCCGCCAGGCCGGATCCGCGGGGAAGGGGAGGCGCGGGAGGCGGCGGACATGGCGGAAGAGATGGCGGAAGCGCAGATTGGAAGCGGGGAGGCGGGGGAAGACGGGGAACTGGCTTCCCGCGGAGGCGCGGACTCCATGGAAGGTTGGGAAAGTGGGGTGGGTAGGAGGGAGGTGGGGTGGAAAGGAGATGTGTGGGATGGGGTGGGTACCTGTAATCCGTCAGCTCCCTTGACGTTGGAAGCGGGGAGGCGGGGGAAGACGGGGAACTGGCCTCCCGCGGAGGGGCAGACTCTATGGAAGGTAGGCGGGATGGGAGGGGGGTCGGGTGGGGTGCGTGCTTGTCAACTGTCACTCTATGGAAGATAGGTGGGTGGGAGGGACGTGGGTACTCGTTTGTCCTCGCCGTCGCTTTTCTACTGGCATGCAGCGGAGTTCCCCACTGTCCCAAACACGCCTCCCCGCCAGGCCTGGTTGCGCCCGCCCGCCCTCATCGGACCTGAGCTGCCCCCTGCAGACGACCCACTTGTCTTTACCCGTGGGTTCCTTTTTTCTCTCCCAGTTTGCAGCCGAGTCCCCCACAGACCCCCCCGCCACAGACCCCTCCCCCCCAGGCCTGGTGGCGCCCGCCCCTATCGGGACAAATTGACAACAAGCTCCCCTTCCGTTCTCCCCTTCCCCCGCCTGTGCCTCCCCCCTTCCGTTTCCCCCGCGCTTCTTTCTTCCCTGGTTTGCAGCCGAATCCCCCACCGACCCCCCTGCAACAGACGCCTCCCCGCCAGGCCTGGTCGCGCCTGCGCCCATTGGGCCTGAACTGGCCCAATGGGCCTGGTCGCCCCTGCGCCCATCGCGCCTGCGCCCATTGGGCCTGAACTCCCCCTGTGGACGACCCGCTGTCTCGCACGTCCCGGTGTGGCAGATTGACAACAAACTCTTCGTCCCTTGTACCCTTCCCTCCCTCCGCCCGCTCCTTCTCCTCCCGGTTGCAACCGAGTCCCCCACGGTCCCCCCCGCCACAGACGCCTCCCCGCCAGGCCTGGTGGCG